GTCTCAACTACGAACACGGGCAAGTTTTACCCAAAGCGACCGTGCACGCAAAGTAATATGGTGCACATGGATGCCCGCGATGTAAGCCGTTAAGACCGCGTTCATGAAGATCAAAGCGGCACTTTATCGATTACTTGACATACATATTATAACAGTTAGCGTAGGGTCTATGTGTTATATCCTGTGTCGTACCTCAGAAATCGGGACATCCCTTTCGATATCCTTTAATCTATCCTAAGACATCCCCGACTCCCATCCGAAATCACGTTCGAAGTGTTTGTCAAATAAACATGAGAAGTTAATTTCTAGAAATTGACCGATATATCGGCTATTCTGGCCGCAAACAAGTCTATTGGCGGCTCCACATAGAACGTATAGTTGACATGTAGGCATGTGTATATTTTTTGTACAGGGTGGTCAACTAAGAATGCGAGCAAGAGAAAAACCTGGAAAACATTTTCAAGTTTCTGAAGTGGCCGCTAGGGGGCGTAACTGCAATCTTGAATCTAAAAAAGTGATGTTTCTTTGAAATCCGCTGTATCGACCTAACAAAAAAGTACCTGATCTTTAAAGTAATTTCATTATAGAAACACAATGAACAGGGGTAGCTGATGTCGGTGAGTGGATTAAAGGAAATAGTTTGATGAAATTAACCGCGTGAGTGTATTCAATAACCATCATGGACGGAAGTAATCGATGATGTTGGGAGGATTGACAATAGTCTGGTGAAATTGTATTTGTGAGTTAATTTGACAAATATCACGAATGGGAGTAGTCGATATCTGGTGAAATTAACTTCGCAGGTTTATTTAGCAAACTCCTCGAACGGACATTGTTGATGCCATCGAGTGGATTAAAGGATATTTTACATCACGTACAACCATTTCTTATATCATTCACGCCCTAAATCATCTTTAATAAACCCCTTTAATGACGACAATTGATTTAGCTAACAATTATGCAGGCAAATTCTTTGAAGCGCTTCGTGAAAAACCAAGTATCATATAGCAAAGTCCATGATAGTTCTGATGGTACTACGTGGTACTACTATGGACGTAACAACTTTTGACATGCTTGAAACCGATTGCATCTTTTGCAAGTAAAACAGAAGTGAAATATAAGTTGGGATAATTTCAGTTTTCCTTTTCAAAACATACGCCTACATTTGAACAAAAAGAAAACCGACCGTTTTCATTGGAAGAGTCATACCCCCGATAGAGAGTGTTAGGAAATAATTTTCACAGCGTGTAAAGGGAAGAATTTTTTTGGATACATGTACCTTCAATATAATGCATTTTATTCATTTATATCACTGAATTAAATAAAACTAGATGCATGTTGTTATGTTTTATTAAATATTACCAGAATTATTTCAGTTTATGAGTGTTGGGCTTCATCTTGCATCCGTACAACTAAACCGTTCACAAAATGCAGCTTAACCTAATGTGATACATTGAGTAAAACAAATATGTATATCAGGTTCGTTTGAAAAATAGTTTTACTTCATTATTGTCTCAAAAATCTACCGACCAGTTAAACTGCTGTCCAACTGACTAACTAACCATGTATGGCGCTAATTCATCCTCATTAGGAATCATCAGTGTGATATAGGTATGTTGCATCGACAGCGAACTCCAGCAGATCATGAGGTTAATTTATGAGCGCAGTAGAACAGCTGTTGACATTTATCGAACAGGTTTATGAATGATTAAAGGTTTCATCATGAAGTTAACTCGGTCTTTAGAGATGAGACTGATGGACGACGGCGAGACTTCCCGTACTTTTTCTTCCGAGAATGGCTCGGGTAGCGGCTCTTCTACCGCGCACTTGCCCTTTATTCCACTCGATGATGTGAAAAGTTAATTAACAGGAAATAGATAGCAAACAACCCGACTGACAAAGTGAACTGTCATATATGCAGTTCCCATGTTTAGCTCGTCTTCACTCTTAGTGCCCGATTTCGGCAGTTGGTGGCATCGTGTGTTATCTGATTCCATAGTCACTCAAGGTCAAAATTATACAAACTACACAGCTGTATGACAAGATGATTGCACAAAATGGTGGGCATGGAATAATGCCATTTAGTCCATGCCCACCATTTTGTGCAATCATCAAGTGGCTTCATGATGTAATGCTTAACTTTCGTTTTAAATATTTTTTAATCTATTTTTAACTTGTTCTTGTCATACAGCTGTGTGTAGTTTGTATAATTTTGACCATTGTACCATTTATCCAGCTTTCACCATGTTACTGGGTGTTTCCCTCATCCTTAACGTAAACAACAATTAGCAACATCCTCACATACTACTCTTCTGATGATGATGGCAAAGACCATTGAAAGCTAGAGAGAATAAAAAAAGTATAAAAGAGTCCTCCTTGCTTAAATTTTGTCGAAGTACCCAACAACAGGAGGAAGCTTTAATTTTTCACCTAACTGGTCTAGACGACAATGACCACGTCTCAAGTTATATATATATATACAGGATGACTTCGAAGTTGAGTCATTTATTTTAACAGTGAGTAGATCTGATCAAAAGAAATGTTTTTTTCCTTTACCATTTTTCTGGTAAAATTAAAGTAACAAAGTTATAGCCCTTTGGAAATTTGAGTACCGCCCTGTCTCAATAATAATATTATATGTTCGTGTTTGGCGACAACGGATATAATCCGCCTGACCGGTTCATCGCATCGGAAACAAAAAAGCGAAAGAATTTGAAACGTTTATCACGATGTTTTTCGTCAGTCGATAACGCGTTAGTGAATAGTAGTGTTTGTTGCGTGGCTCAAACGAAATCAAAAATGGCACATGTTTACGAAAATGCTGAACTTGTGGACATGATTCTTATTTACGGGGGGGCAGTCTTTACAAAATGCTCCCGGATGCATCACGGATTTATGCGAATCGGTTTCCCAATCGAGTGCAACCAACCCTTCGTGCCTTTGTTAATGTAGTACAAAGGGCTCGTGAATCAGGTGACTTAAGACCTCACAGGTCAGGGCATGCTGCTCCAAGACCGCACGATCAAATACAGGTCCGCACTGAAATAATTGTCGGGACGATACTTTATTAAACAAGGTGACATTTTTTTTATTTTTTTTATTTTTACACACATATTTTGGTTTATCTTCCTTCTACAATCATTATCTGAAAATTAATGACTCAACTTCAAAGTCACCCTGTATATATATATATATATAGAAGTAACAACTTGACATGCTTGAAACCAATCGCATCTTTTGCAAGTAAAACAGAAGTGAAATATAAGTTATAATTTCAGTTTTCCTTTTCAAAACATACGCCTACATTTGAACGAAAAGAAAACCGACCGTTTTCATTGGAAGAGTCATACCCCCGATAGAGGGTGGGAGGAAATAATTTTCACAGCGTGTAAAGGGAAGAATTTTTTTGGATACATGTACCTTCAATATAATGCATTTTATTCATTTATATCACTGAATTAAATAAAACTAGATGCATGTTGTTATGTTTTATTAACTATTACCAGAATTCTTTCAGTTTATGAGTGTTGGGCTTCATCTTGCATCCGTATCACTAAACCGTTCACAAAATGCAGCTTAACCTAATGTGATACATTGAGCAAAATAAATATGTATAGTATATCATGTTCGTTTGAAAAATAGTTTTACTTCATATTGTCTCAAAAATCGACCGACCAGTTAAACTGCTGTCCAACTGACTAACTAACCATGTATGGCGCTAATTCATCCTCATTAGGAATCATCAGTGTGATATAGGTATGTTGCTTCGACAGCGAACTCCAGCAGGTCACGAGGTTAATTTTTGAGCGCAGTAGAATAGCTGTTGACATTTATCGAACAGGTTTGTGAATGATTAAAGGTTTCATCATGAAGTTAGAAGAAGATATAACAACTACCCACCCAAAGATGGTCCACAGCAGAGAGCTCACAAGAAACGAGCGAGCTACAAGACACCTAGCTTTGATAACAAAGCCAGATGTCTTAGGGCCCAGATATAAATTTATTACAAAAATATCATGATAATGCTTGAAATTGAAAGAGACAAGTTCAAGTCAATTAAAGCCATACCGGAAGAAGAGGACGTAAAAGAATTCAAGTTTCAGGAAGTAAAGGAGATATCTCAAATATTATTCTTTTCAAACCCAAAGACCATAAACAAGTTGAATAGGCTAAATATCAGCACTATTAGAAAGGAAATTGCAGATTGCAGATTGCATTTACTCAAAAGCAACAACAAAATATAATAATAGGATGACACAGTTAATGACTGTAGATCATAAGTTTCATTAGATATAGAATTCGGTCTTTAGAGATTAGATTGATAGACGACGGCTAGACTTCCCGCACTTTTTCTTCCGAGAATGACTCGGGTAGCGGCTCTTCTACCGCGCACTTGCCCATTATTCCACTCCCTGATTTGAAAAGTTAATTAACAATAAACAGATAGCAAACAACCCGACTGACAAAGCAAACTGTGGTCTATACAGTTCCTATGTTTAGCTCGTCTTCACTATTAGTGCCCGATTTCGGCAGTTGGTTTCATCGTGTGTTATGTGATTTCATAGTCACTCAAGGTCAGAATCGGCTAAATATATTCAAAATTACAATTTTTGTGATATCTAGAAAGTGTATCCTATTTTTCAAATGAACGATGATTCAAGTTAAGAAATAAATAAAAACCGTTTAAATATTAAACAAGCATAACTTACTTACAGTCAGTACTTCAATTTGAAATATCAACAGCATGTCGGCAATTAGCTAATAGTTATTTAGATTGTACCAAATAAATCCCAAAACAAATATCGCCATTGCTTTTTTGGGAGAATGTTCTAAAAGCCTATAACACCTAACAATCATTTTTTATATGCCGGGTGTTTCAAATTCGACTATCACCATTGGGATCTCGGCATAATTAGGGTTTCAATATAACGTTTCGTCTCTCGAACTCAATGGTCAACTTTATTTTTTCGTATGGACGACATATTGGATTATTGTTGAGCTGTATAGGTGAATATATTCAATTCTGATTCGAAAAATGTACAAACGGTACTATAAAAGTTTTGCAATATGACTTAACAAACGGACGCAGAAGGCTGCATGTTACTGCATATTGACAGTGTAAAGTGCGGACTATGGTATCGTGGTCACGTAGTGAGATGAGTGCAATTTTACGGTATAACCTTACGGGTGGTCTAAGCATAGACCAGTGCTTAGAAGAAATGACGCTTGCATTAAAGAATGATTGTCGTCATCGTACGACTATATTCAGGTGGTACATAGAGTTCCAGTGGGACAATTTCACTCTGGAGGACGCTGAGGGAAGGAAGGCCGCGAACGTCAGTAACAGAGGAAAACATTACTGCTGCGAGGAAAACATTACTGCTGCGAGGAAAATGCTTGACCAAGACCGGAGAGTGACATACCAACAGATAGAGGAGATCTTAAACCTTCATGCACGAGTAATTCGTTCAATTTTGCATGACCATTTACACGTGAGGAAACTTTGTTTCCTCTGGGTACTGCATAGTCTGACGGAAGAGCAGAAGACTCTTCGCACAACTTGGTGCCGAAAGATGTTGAAAATGTTAAATAAGGGACAATCTCGGTATGTGACTTGGCTCTATTATTACGATGTGCCGACCAAGGTTCAAAACAAAGTTTGGGTCTTTGATAGCTGCCAGAAATTCCCGATCTGTTAAGGAAAAAATGATAGTTGTAATTTTCAAATCGAGCGGGATTGTGGAGCGTGTCGTTTTGGACACAGACGACAGTGACAGCTAAGTGGTACTCGGAACAGTGCCTGCCTAAGGTCATAAAGTTTACTACAGTTACTAGACACTATTGATCACCCTCAAATCTTGCTCCCTGCGACTTTGCACTGTTTCCGCATGTGAAAATGAAGCTAAAAGGAAAACGCTTTTCTAGCAACGAGTGTGCCGCACTGCCGGGCGAAACTTGTCAGAGCTGATTTAAGGACTGGTTTTGGCGGATGAAGAAGTGTATTGAATGTGCTGGAAATTACTTTGAACGAAGTTAATAAATAAAGTTGTATTGCAAAACTTTTATAGTACCCTTTGTACAATTATGTCATACATTAACATTACAAAGGTTCACTTACTTCACAAAAATATGTCCATGGATGCCATTGAAAATGGCAGTTTATCGCATGTTTATTAGATTACATTACCAATTAAAGATTGGTTGGGTTTTTGAGAAGCACGTTTAAATGACGTTTAGATAATTTGACCATTTATCAACTATAAGAAGCGAAGCATAGTGAAGCCTTCCTACATAACATCTTAATCCTGCAATGCTTGGTTTGATATTATGAAAAAAATTGGGCGAAGAGTACTGTAATCGCCAAAAATTTCGAAAATAAGATATTGTGGTTCTTAGATGTTATGTGACTTTTATATCACGAAAAGCCATGTCACTCATTTCTGTCGGTCTGTCTATCTGCCCGCTAATCCTAGGACCGCCTATAACCTAGAAGTACCGCTCGGATTTCGATAAAATTTTCACACAAGGTTACTACTAAGCCTAGAACGAAACAGTTTTGTAGTTTTTGATAATCTGTCCAGTGGCGGCAGATCTTGGGACAAACACACGAAAAAATAAAACAACTCACTCAATCTTCGTTTTTTGACGTTTCAAAGACTCTTTGATCATTTTCAGACAAAATTTGGAAGAGAGGGTTGTAGCAGTTTGGAGAGGGTATATTACATTATTTGGTAGCAGTATATTTATACGATTCCAACCCCAGTTTTTCTCGTACATTTGCCCTTAAAGTTAGAGAAAGCGTTCGGTCGAAACGACGCGACGGCGACTCATACGCCGAACCTTGTCCGAGTCTGACTGTATGACCGGCCTGGATGATCGCCGAGATTTTAAGATATAGTATTATGGCAGCAGCGTTGCCAGATGGTCGATACTTAGGGCAGGGAAGAAACTCGCGTCAGCGTTATTAAATGGGTCGGGACTGTGGACTAATTGTATATGGGCCTGTACGACTGACTTGACCCATTTTATTTTTTATACATGTTTGTAGTTAGCTCAAACGGACTAACTTGACACAAACGTAACACTTTATTAACTGATGGCAGGATTGCGTAGGTAGTGCAGTCAACCTACATGAGGCCATTTTTTTAAATTATTTTAAATAATAGTTTCACAATATTAGTGTATGATATATTCTACATTTTTAAAATTATTATTAATCACTCTTCTGGTTGAGGTCAAGAGATGAAACGTCATACTGTTATTCGAATTATGATACCTTGTAGAGGAGATAAATCGACAAAGTTAATGAGCAAATTGTTTTGAAATCCCACCTCGAATAAGGTCAGAAAAAAATAAAAACGACTTTGCGGAAAAAAACATTTTTCACGGACTCCATACTATGAATTGAGAAACTTTCATACCGCCATTTTCTCTAACCAACTTCGTATCTCTTACAGTTTCGGAGATCGGCGATTTTGAAACACGACACAACATGAAATCGACTTAGCAACGCCAAAAAATAAAGTAAATAGAGCTGGTTTTACAGCTGAGGAGAGATTAACAATGGACCAGATTGGACCAGATTGTTTTATCCTCACCAAAGGCTATTTTGCACGTAAAATGACAAAGACATAATAAACAAGGCAGTAGTTTTTGATAATCTGTCCAGTGGCGGCAGATCTTGGGACAAAAACACGAAAAAATAAAACAACTCACTCAATCTTCGTTTTTTGACGTTTCAAAGACTCTTTGATCATTTTCAGACAAAATTTGGAAGAGAGGGTTGTAGCAGTTTGGAGAGGGTATATTACATTATTTGGTAGCAGTATATTTATACGATTCCAACCCCAGTTTTTCTCGTACATTTGCCCTTAAAGTTAGAGAAAGCGTTCGGTCGAAACGACGCGACGGCGACTCATACGCCGAACCTTGTCCGAGTCTGACTGTATGACCGGCCTGGATGATCGCCGAGATTTTAAGATATAGTATTATGGCAGCAGCGTTGCCAGATGGTCGATACTTAGGGCAGGGAAGAAACTCGCGTCAGCGTTATTAAATGGGTCGGGACTGTGGACTAATTGTATATGGGCCTGTACGACTGACTTGACCCATTTTATTTTTTATACATGTTTGTAGTTAGCTCAAACGGACTAACTTGACACAAACGTAACACTTTATTAACTGATGGCAGGATTGCGTAGGTAGTGCAGTCAACCTACATGAGGCCATTTTTTTAAATTATTTTAAATAATAGTTTCACAATATTAGTGTATGATATATTCTACATTTTTAAAATTATTATTAATCACTCTTCTGGTTGAGGTCAAGAGATGAAACGTCATACTGTTATTCGAATTATGATACCTTGTAGAGGAGATAAATCGACAAAGTTAATGAGCAAATTGTTTTGAAATCCCACCTCGAATAAGGTCAGAAAAAAATAAAAACGACTTTGCGGAAAAAAACATTTTTCACGGACTCCATACTATGAATTGAGAAACTTTCATACCGCCATTTTCTCTAACCAACTTCGTATCTCTTACAGTTTCGGAGATCGGCGATTTTGAAACACGACACAACATGAAATCGACTTAGCAACGCCAAAAAATAAAGTAAATAGAGCTGGTTTTACAGCTGAGGAGAGATTAACAATGGACCAGATTGGACCAGATTGTTTTATCCTCACCAAAGGCTATTTTGCACGTAAAATGACAAAGACATAATAAACAAGGCAGTTTTTGTCTTGAGGACATAATTATAGCGATAGAACAAGAAACTGACAGAAGCAAATTATTAAGTAAAGAGCTTGGAATTACGAATAATACTGTGATAAAAATTGTGATTTGCTTTAATATCTTGAGTACTACCAAAGGAATACACAACACAATAACTAACATAAGTAAAATCAGTCTAAATAAGTTTCAAACTTAAAGATAAAATATTGATTACATGAACTTCCTATCAATACATTTTATTTTCACCTTGGTCTGACCATATACTTCAAACACATTCATTTTATCTGAATTCTTTCCATTCTACGCACATAATATATAAAATATTTGAGTTTTTCTTACAAGCTTTACCATATATCCTACATACACCGTATCTCAGAAATTCCTACACATTTTCTTGTGGGGAGCTTGAAAATACCTAAGATAGTCCATCAATAACGGATCAACCGAATTTTGAATGTTTGATTTTTGTAAACAGGTACACCGAGATAGTCAAGTTATTTGAATTAAAATTAACATGCGAAATGATATGCTAAAATTTATTAGCAGGAACAAAAAGAGAACATACGTTAATTCTTTGTTAATCCAGAATGTGAGATGTAGTAAAAAAAAATGATAAACTTGAAGATTAAACATACTTGCTGCATTCAATTATATGCTATAGGCATGACTATACTCATATGTGAATTTGTAAAGCCGAGACGCAATACACTTCGCACAGTGGAATAGCCAAGAATGTACGTGTGTTCGTAACTCGATTCTACGTACACCGAGGTGTCAAAAATACGTTAGCTGAGTAGCAATTTTCTTTTAAACTGACGATTAAAAAAGGAAATGTAGTTTGAAATTTATGAACATGAATAAAGCAACAGTAGGCATTTTCAATGAACTACAAAAGTTCAGTAATTGGAAAGAACACATTCATAAAACCTGTAAAGCACCGATTTTAGATGCGTTCTGAAATTACACTATCTATAGAACTCGATCCTTACACAACCATCATTATTTGAAGATAAAAGTCTACTTACATTGCCCAATTAGTAAAAACAAAAATTTGTAACAAAAGAGATAGCGTGATTTTCACTTTATAAGAATTGACATGCACGAACTCCAAAAATAAAACCAAAAACCATAAACTACCTGGAACAACAACAAACCACAAACCAGTTTATGAACCCTGAAACATCCCAAGCACAAAATATTGAGTCCGCAGAAGTGATAAGATTTTTTAAATCAAGATTTCATGAAGTTTCTGAATGCAGATTGTCACAATACGTTCTTATTATTGTATCTCTTTTATGTCGATCCAGCATAGAAAACATGATTGAAATTCCAATATAATATCCCTTTTTGTGAGCTGGTAAGGTTTTTATGTACAATAGCATATGAAACGTTAGGAAGCTTTAGAATAATAAATAGTTTAGCTATCTATACTGAGTTATTTCAATTAATGGCGAATGTAGGAAAAATAGGGCTCACCAGGTCCATGAATTCATTTTTACTGATGTTTACTCATGAATTTTTCGACTACTTACTTCCACCCATTTTTTCCTGTAATGCTCAATTTCAACATTATTTTGGGGTGTTTCACAATGCAGTGAGCCCCTTTCTCTC